AAAGAATAATATGCAAACTCACTATTCCTTTTTTCAAAGTACATGCATGCGCTAATCCAACCTCACAATCTCTCTCTCTCTCACACACACACACACATACACACGCTCCCGAGTAAAAACAAAGGCTGGTATCGCAGGAGAAGAAACATCAGCTCAAAAGATAAGGCTAAGTTTTGCTCCTTTACATACACCTGACTCTCATGGAATGATGTGTGATCTCAAATCCTATACAGCAGGGGCGGACAGTTCATGGTACTGGGCCAGACTTGGGTTATTGACAACCGTCAGGTATAGAGAGCCCTTTAGCCATAGCCAGGCTTCCAGTTACTGGTTTCAGGAGAAACTACCAGGAGTGCAGTTTCCTGCAGTCTCCCTCCCAGCAAATGTGCCAGTCTGGAGATTTTAGAAGGGATATCTCTTCGTATCCCCACATGGCCACCTATCTTTGATTGGCCCTCCAGCCTGTCAAATTGCTGACCAGAGTTACAGAGTCACCAATCAGAACAAAACCCAGTTCTGCCATGGGATCGGGTCAGGGAACTTTTGCCAGTGGGTTCTGTGCCATGATACAGTCTAACAGCAGCCACCCGTCCCTTGAGATCGTGCCTGTTATTTTCCTGGCACCTGGCTTGTCGCTTTGACTCGCTTCATCCTTCCAAATAAGTTGGCCACCAGTGTGCTTTGGTGGGCCAGCTGTGAGGTTGGCCGGCCGGCCAAAGTGGGAATCCTCTCAGAAGCTGCAGGAAATTCGCCTTGAGGGTTTGCAGACCAAGCAAGGGGTACAGAGTTAAGAGGTGAAGCGATTGCTTCACCGCATGCTCAATGCCGCAAAATATAGGCATTGTATAATTTCTATAATTTGTGCGGTATAACCAAACTTAATCGAACGTACCCCTAACCGCTCTGCCTGGAAAATTCAAAGTTTACCTGGAAGCATAAGTCATTGCTTCTGAAAATAAGCCTTTAAAAGAGCACTGCATACAAGACCACGAAGTCTGCAGCAGAACTTTATGTCTTGCATATATATATATATATATATATATATATATGCGCCATATGTATTTCTTTAATGCCTCTAAAGGCTCCGCTGAAGTCTAGCAACTAAAGATGCAAAAAGGACTGATTCACCCAACCCAAAAATTTAGGCTGAGTTTGGTAAAGCAGTCATGTTATTGGCTTATCACTTGGGTCTCCAACTACAATTCCCATCATCCCTGACCACTGGTCCTGCTAGCTAGGAATGATGGGAGTTGTAGTCCAAAAACAGGAGACCCAAGTTTGGGAAACCCTGGTTTACCGCATGCCAAAGTTATTTTTTTCTTCTAAGGTTGCAGTCCTATACCTACTTACCCAGTGGGATTTATGTCTGATTAGACTTGTGAAGAATTCTGGTATCATATTTTTTTTAAAAAAATCACTGACACTTTTCCAGGGTATGTAGGTTCTACGCCAGGGACAGGGGATGTGTGACCCTCCCAACTCCCATATATAACTCCCAACGTCTCTATTGGCCATTCTAGATGGGGATGATGGGAGCTGGAGTCTGACAACATCCACCAGGTTCCCTACATTATTCCTTATGGACACTGTAACCTCGAGTCCTTTCCTCCCGACCTAATTGCACATTGGAGAATCAAAACACCCATGGCAGACATCAGATCAGCGCCTGCAGTCCTATTCAAACATCATGTCGCAATCACCACATGAAGCAGTCATGTGCATTCCACCATAGAAACATGAGAATTATACTTTTTAAAAGGCCTTTCCCCACTTTTCTTTTTTGCTCCCTGAAATGTGCCCACAGCCTGGCATTGTCTTTTTAAGGGCATTTTAAAAAAAAAAAAAACCTGAGCATGAATCAGCCAGAGTTAAGCACTATTAAGTCTCATTGGTTTCAATAGGAGGGAATTTGAATATGTGCTCTCCTCCCACACTGAACTCAATGGGACTCCATGGAACTTTTATCTTTGTTTTGGTTGCATCTATGACTTTCGTTTTTACAGGGATTTTTAAATTTATTATTAAATAACTTTTTCCTTTTCCTTTTTTTTTTACTGGCCAGTAAAGAGTAGCTTACATTCTAAATAGCTACAACGTACTCCCTCCACTGGAGTAATGGTCCATAGAAATACAGACGTGGCCGAACAAGTGGTACAATTTTCGGAGGGGCAAAACCCTCTCCAGGAAATCTGCATAATAATGGGAAAACAAAATTGCCTATGCCACAATAAGGTGTATTTTTGACTAAATCACCTTCAGAATAAGGTGTGTTTTATTGGAATAAACAAGCGTTCGCTTTGAGAAGAAAGCAATTCTCGAGAAACCCGTAGCACCATAATTTCCTGATGTACGAATAATGTGCACCCGTTTTTGTTTTTACTTTGTTAGAGCAAGCCTCATCGTGACAAGGAAATAGCTGTTCTGGCCTGTTTGAGTGTAACAATGGCAAACCATAATACAGATAATTCACCTGGCTGGGCCTGACCTGGTCCTCAACCAGAGGAAGAATGAGGTGGGCAAAGAAATGGCAGAATCAGTGTTTCACGAGTAGGAAAGTCATAACCCACAGGCAATAAGAGGCATAGGGATGACCCTGGCCCCAGGAATCCACACAAAAGGGTGCAATTCAGGTCAGCTAGGTTTTACACAGAGTAGACCCATTGAAATGAATGAGCATGACTATGAGTAAAAGTTCAATACCACGCAGTGTACCTTATAATTTCAACAGGAATTAAAAGCACCCAAGACCCGTCGCATACCTTGCAATTTTCAGCTTAACTTCTGACAGAGTTTTCTCTTAGCTGGAACTCACTAGAACTCAGTTGCAGCACCTCTCAGGTGGGAGCCATTGCCGCACTGGCTGACAGGGCCAAAAAGGATGTTTTTATTATGATTTATCACTGATGTTCTGTAATGTGTTTTTAATGTTGTACACCACCCTGAGATCTTTTAATAAAGGGCAGTATATAAATTGTAGTAGTACAGTGGTACCTTGGGTTACATACACTTCAGGTTACAGACTCCGCTAACCCAGAAATAGTACCTCGGGTTAAGAACTTTGCTTCAGGATGAGAACAGAAATTGTGCTCTGGCAGCGCGGCGGCAGCAGGAGGCCCCATTAGCTAAAGTGGTGCTTCAGGTTAAGAACAGTTTCAGGTTAAGAACGGACCTCCGGAACGAATTAAGTATTTAACCCGAGGTACCACTGTAGTAGTAGTAGTAGTAGTAATAGAATAAGGGAGGCATTCATGGTGAGTTCCGGCACGTCTTTTTCTAGAAAAATAGCACCGACATCTGAAAATGTCAGGCATACAGGTGACAAATGTGGTGTTGCTCCTTAAGAAGCTATGAATGGCTAAACCTCCTTGTTGTGGAAAAAAGCACTGGGCGGCAAAGCATGGTTTGCCTCTGTGTAATATGTGAATTGTTCCCCAAGGATGGTGCATGAAGCTTACAGTCTCCTTCTTCAATAGAGATGTTTATCAGGAAGTCATCCAGGAGACTCCGCAGCTTGACCTTCCTTACAACTAATCCAGAACGTGGCAGGAGACTGGGAGTGGCCGCCATAACCATATAACACTGGTTCTGAAAGACCTACATTGGCTCCCAGTACATTTCCGAGCACAGTTCAAAGTGTTGGTGCTGACCTTTAAAGCCCTAAATGGTCTCGGCCCAGTATACCTGAAGGAGCATCTCCACCCCCATTGTTCACTGAGGTCCAGCGCCAAGGGCCTTCTGGCGATTCCCTCCCTGTGAGAAGTGAGGTTACAGGGAAGCAAGTGGAGGGCCTTCTCGGTAGTGGAACGCCCTCCCACCAGATGTCAAGCAAATAAACAACTACCTGGCTTTTAGAAGACATCTGAAGGCAGCCCTGTTTAGGGAAGTTTTTAATGTTTGAAGTTTTATTCTGTTTCGTCCTCTGTTGGAAGCCACCCAGAGTGTCTGGGGCAACCCAGTTAGATGGTGTCTGTGTTTACAAATTAAAAACATTACTGTATTTTTCCGTGTATAAGACGCCCCCAAGTATAATCCGAACCCTATTTTTTAATAACCCCAAATTAAGAAAACGCACTATGCACGATCTGTGTATAAGACGATCCCTTATTTTAAACTTCAAAAATTTAGGAAAAAATATAGTCTTATACACGGAAAAATGTGGTATTATCATTTGGGAAGCCTGCCTCACTCTAAAGAACCATTGGGTTTGTGAAGTGTATACATGAACAAATGAAGAGGAAGTCACACAAACTGGATGCTCCTCAGGGCGGAGGCGACACCTTACCTCAGCAGCAAATGTGAAATGTGAAAGAAGGCAGGGAACGTGCAAGCTTTATTACTGTTTCGGGCAAGATGCTGTTTAACTTAAGCCCTGTGATGAGCACCACAGAGTATTTTGTGCTTTTTTTCCTTGGCAAATGGGACTCACCGCATTGTTGTTGGAAAAAAACCATCCTCATCACATGAATGGGAAAACAGTTATTTATTTATTAGAAATACAAAGGACCCTGGAGAACTGTGGTGTTTTTTTTTTTTTTAACTTTCATAAAATGGTTAGGGCACAATCCATCCGAATGTGGGCAAGGCCAAGTATGCACGGAGGAATTCCGCAAAGACCCAGTGAGGTATGTTCCCTTTAGCGGCGTTCATACACTGCAGCGCCCTGAACCAAGAAATGGATATATTGCACGACTCCCTGTCTCAATCCGGCCCAAGGTCGCCCACGTGCGCAGTGTTCATCCTCTGAGCATGTGCCAAGGTGGCACATGCTGAGGAGCACAAGGAACAGCAGTGCCCGATTCAACCCAATGCAATCTCTTCACGTGCAAGTGGCTGCACCCACATGGCGATGGATCGTGCCCCAACGTAAAGCACAAAACCCTTCCAAAGTCTCAGTGGTAAGCAAAAAATAAGAAAGATCTCAAGGGGGAAAGGGGAACAACAATCTAGAAGCTTCTCCTCTCTGTACAATGCTAACGAATATATAGATATATATCTTTGCTCTGCCTTTAAACGTGGAATAAATTCTTTTTATTTCTCCTCGCTGTGATATATGTTCTCTCTCTCTCTCTCAAAATACGCAATCAGCATTCGTCCTTGAAAAATACTGTACAAAAAAAGCACACTCTAATGATTCTGTAGAAACTTTATACATATCGTAATAATCGTGTTCTTTTGGTCTTCAGAAAACATTTGTATGGATTGGGTTCGCCACAGTATGACAACTCCATCACCTTTCAATACAGACCTGAATCTCCTACATTCACTTTTTTTTTAATTTCCTGCAGAAAGTCCACTATAATATAACACAAGTTTCGAAAGCAAAATGAGAACAAAAAGCGGAAAATGACAGGAGAAAGTTTGAGAGCCATCGGTTTTATGATACAATCGGAAACAAAACATCTCAAGGAAAAGCAGGATTTGCAAAAAGTGACTTCTCGCCGATTCAAAAGAATCTGGAGGAACAGCAAGGGAGAAGTCCACAGAAAGTATTTTACAGAAAAGTTGAATATAGAGCTGAATTTAAAGTCTTTAATCACATAAACAGGACTTGAAGAAATGCAAATGGCAAAGGAAATAACAATCGTAACAGCAATAATAACAATAAACCCTCCAAACTCCAAAAGCAGTGAATATTTGAAAGTTTTCGTTTTTGTTCTCTTGCCAACGAATTGCCACGTGTCTTTTGCACCCCAATCCAGCAAGGGCAATCACTGCCCCCTTATGCCCTATTAACACCAGTGGGCTGCTTGAGGAATGGGGCAGGTGTGGGGCTGAGTCCAAACACAACCTCATCCTCTCATAATAGGGAATCGATGTTGCCATAGGAGTCTGGACCAGTTATACTTTCAGTTTGGGGGGAAGGGGGTGGACATCTGCAAGCACAGCAGTATATTCGCACCAGGCTGGCCCAACTGTGGAGGTAAAACTACACAACCTCTTGTGGTGCCACAACCCAAGAGCTGCCTGTTACGGCTGTCACCGCCTGCAGTTTCGGAGGAGGTCCATAGGGGCAGCAGAACAGCTCGATGGCTGGGTTTAATATCCCACGCAGCAGCAACAGGAAAGTTGTAGCCCTCCAGTTGCTCCCGGACTCCAACTCCCATGAGCCACACAGCAAGTGTGGCCAATGGCCAAGGATGATGGGAGTTGTAGTCCGGCAACATCCAGCGAGCCAAAGGCCTCTCCCCATTCCTGCAGTCAACAGCCTTTTGATTTCTGCACAGACACACACCTCACCAGAGGGCAGACATAGCTGTATGGAAGTGTAGAAGAAGTTAACAGGCAATTTTTAACAGAAAAGTATCCTAAGTCAGCACTTGATAATGTTAACGTTGTGCTCAGCGTATGGCACCAGCAGGGGGAGCAAGACTTTGATTTGTCATAAGGTGGCAAAATGCCTAGACTGGCCCTCTAAGTGCACCTTCTGCCTGCACCATCGCTTGACTGCTTTAGAAAACTTATCCCCCACTTTTCTGTTTGAGCATTTGAATTGCTCAGTGGGGACGGCTTCCAGCAATTAAAAACCAAACCATGTTTGAGAGGTTCTTGTAGCAGCCTATCAATAAGTTTTTTACAAATTACAAAGGAAAACCCAATGGAAAATTATCTTATCAGGTAGGGCAGGTGATCCTATGTCCACCTGGAACATTGCAAGTAACATACCAGAGTGCACAAGAGGATTATTGCTTAGGTTCAGACTGTGCAAAACAAAACAAAAAATAACACTCCCTGTGATTTATTTGCAGTTTTTGGGTTTTAGAGCCATGAAAGGAAACTATCAGCTGTTTCTTACGAGATCTACCGAGAAAACTATCAGCAGCAGTGCGAGCCTGAAGATAATCTTCTTTTTTTAATCACCAAAGCTTAAGAACACAACAAAACAAAAGAAGGAGAAAAATCTATAAATTAAATATTTCTGCAGTGTAGCATTAAAATATCATTTGTGCATTTGCAGTAGCAAGTTAAAAATGTCTGATTAGGCATATTTAAACAATAGATTCAGGGAGGCTAGGCTTTGTTTTCTTCCTCCTCCGTTTATAGCGCGATTCATTCTTTCTGTTCTCGTTTTCGAAATTAAATCAAGAGAATGGCAAAAGGGTAAAATAATAACAATAGTAATAATAATAATAATAATAAAACCTAGTTCAAAGCAGCACTGGAAAATATTTAATTATTTAATGAAAAGCTTAACTATGGCAGGTTTCAGCAGTCCCAGTGAAAACGAGTCACCCTTCCATTTCCATAAAAATGGGGAGTGCTGAGGTGAACATGCACACACGCCCACACATACACAGACCCGCGCATGCGTGTACGCACATAGAAGAAAAAAAAGTTGTACGCTGTTTTTTTCGTTTTGCTTCTGTTTTCCTGGTAAAGTGCTGATGGTGAAAGGTTGGGGGCGTTTGGGTGTGGTGCTATCAAGCAATAAACACACTGTCCATCGATTCAAATGCCAACCCACCGAAAAGAAAAATAGAAAGAAAAGAAAAGAAAAGAAAGAAGAGGGAGGGGGAGAAAGGGGTGGGTGGGAATGCCATTTACAGAGGACCATGCCGGGCTTCATACTTGGCGAGGACATTCTTGCATTTGCCCAGCTCTTTCCGTAGATCGGCCACTTCCTGGCGCAGAGCGGAGTTCTCCTTCTCCAGAAACGAGGCGCGAATGGCAATCTGGTTCTCCTTCAGCCTCCGAGCGTCTCTGGACCGCTTGGCAGCCATGTTGTTCTTTCTGCGTCTTGCCCAGTATTTGTCATCCTGCTCATTAATCACAGAGAGGGAGAAAGGCAGCGTTAGACTTCAGCAGATTAACAGAGCTTCGGCTACAAGGCACCAGGGAAGGGTCGGCAGAGCACACTTCTACTGGCAGGGCTACACATATTCTGCTTGGCCTTGGCTACATACATGTCATACTGGGGACTGGGAGTGGCCGCCGGTACCATGTAACACCAGCCCCGAAAGACCTACGCTGGCTCCCAGTACGTTTCCAAGCACAATTCAAAATGTCGGTGCTGACCTTTAAAGCCCCAAACGGCCTCGGCCCAGTATACCTGAAGGAGCGTCTCACCCCCATCATTCAGCCCGGACACTGAGGTCCAGCTCTGAGGACCTTCTGGAGTTTCCCTCACTGCGAGAAGTGAGGTTACAGGGAACCAGGCCTTCACGGTGGTGGCGCCCTCCCATCAGATGTCAAGGAAATAAACAACTATCTGACTTTTAGAAGACATCTGAAGGCAGCCCTGTTTAGGGAAGTTTTTGACGTTTGATGTTTTATCGAATTTTTAATATTCTGCTGGGAGCTGTCCAGAGCAGTGTATAAATAATAAGTTGTTGTTGTTATCACATAAAGAATCCTCAGCGCTATTGTTAAGGGTGCTGTGGGGGTAAAACTACAGTTCCCAGGATTTCTGGTATGATTTCTTTAAATGTATGGTCTATATGCAGACCAAATCTGAACATCCCAAGTAGTACGGACTCTGAGATCCAGCGCCGAGGGCCTTCTGGCGGTTCCCTCATTGCAAGAAGTAAGGTTACAGGAAACCAGGCAGAGGGCCTTCTCGGTAGTGACGCCCACCCTGTGGAACACCCTTCCTTCAGATGTGAAGGAAATAAGTAGCTATCCTATCTTTAAAAGACATCTGAAGGCAGCCCTGTTCAGGGAAGTTTTTAATATTTAACGCTGTATTGTTTTTAATACTTGATTGGGAGCCGCCCAGAGTGGCTGGGGAAACTCAGCCAGATGGGTGGGGTATAAATAATAAATTATTATTATATTATTATTATTCTGTTCTTGTTTTAAGTCTCTAACTCTCATGTTAATGCATACTTTTTGTGAATGTTCCACTTCATTTCTGAATGTTTCATTTCTGAAACACTCTTTTCTGAATGTTTTAGTTCACTTTCAATTTGTATACCACCTTCCTATATTACTATACACAGAAGGCAGTTTGCAAGCTGAAGAAACAACTAAACAGAAACGGTCACACGCTTAATATCAATCTGATCCGATACCAAAAAAGGCACACTAACTTTTAAATAGACAACTTATATCAAATAAAAAAATCTCTAATAATCTGTTGGAATGTATTAAATATTAAATAACAGCAAATAATAATCAAACAGTTTGTACTTATCAACTGCAACGAAGAATTACTAAACTGTAATCCGTAAAAATAACAGCAAGTCACATAAAGCGTACAAAACCATGTAAAAGGATCAAATTGAGAAGCAAGAACACAATTTATAATATTATTATTTTTTTTTAAAAAAAATCCCTCAACTCCCTGTTGCCCAGAGAGGAAGACTGGAATAAAATGCTACTCAGAAGTAAGTTCCACTGAGTTCAGTGGAGCTTGCTTCCAGGTAAGTGGGTACCAGACTGCAGTATATCTCAGCAGCCTGGCTCCAGAGATATGCCCAAACCCTCTTTCCCCTCCCATTCTTCCTACACCCCGTAGGCTACATCTTGGCTTTATAATTTCCCATCTCCGTCATCATCTCTGCAAAACTTCAGTTCATTCCTGGGCTTATCCAGGCCACGTACAACTTTATTTTAACAAATTGCAAAGGCAAATCCTTTAATCCGGTCCTGAAAGAAGCAGGGCTGGCATCTAGAATCACATGCAGCCGAGAGACGATTGGCCAGCCTAATCTGCTTACCCCTTTCCAGAACTACTCTTCTGCACCATGGGAAATGGGAGAAAGCTGTGACCAAACATTCTGGGAAGAGCCGAGGGCAACTCTCGCTGCTATCTTAGAAGAAACTAGAACGACGGCCATGAATTCCCCTGAGCAAGCAAGGGGCTTGACAGTGCTTCCCTGCTCTTAGTTTCCCCCAGGTTCCGTTCTCTAAGTGTTCCAATGTATTCAAAGGTTTATGTTTCTCGAGCCAAGCCAGTAAATGAACACGGTGAATATGCACGCACTGGTTGCATTAGGATGTCATCTGGACTTAATAAGCTGAGAATTAGCCTTGTTTCCCTGCACACAGCTACTTCGTTCCTCCCTTTGTGCAACTGGGGAAAGCAAGTCAGGAAGCCACAGTTGGCTACAGTTTCTAATTTATGCCCGAACTGAGAAACTATGGTTAAGGGCTTCCGAGCAAAGTACAGTACAATCGTACCTTGGAAGTCGAACAGAATCCGTTCCGGAAGTCCGTTTGACTTCCAAAATGTTCGAAAACCCAAACTGTGGCTTCTGATTGGCTGCAGGAAGCTCCTGCAGCCAATCAGAAGCTGTGGAAGCCCCGTTGGACGTTCAGGTTCCAAAAGAACATTCGCAAACCAGAACAATCACTTCCGGGTTTGGGGTGTTTGGGAGCCAAAATGTCTGGGTTCCAGGATGTTCGGGAGCCAAGGTACAGCTGTACTTAACTTTAAGTTGCAGCTTAAAGGGTGAAGGGACCCCTGACTGTTAGGTCCAGTCGTGGACGACTCTGGGGTTGCAGCGCTCATCTCGCTTTATTGGCTGAGGGAGCTGGCGTTTGTCCACAGACAACTTCCAGGTCATGTGGCCAGCATGACTATGCCACTTGTGGCGAACCAGAGCAGTGCACGGAAACGCCGTTTGCCTTCCCGCCGGAGTGGTACCTATTTATCTACTTGCACTTTGACGTGCTTTGGAACTGCTAGGTTGGCAGGAGCAGGGACTGAGCAACGGGAGCTCACCCCGTCGCGGGGATTTGAACCGCCGATCTTCCAGTCGGCAAGCCCTAGACTCTGTGGTTTTAGAGCACAGTGCCACCCGCTCAACACACCAATATTAAGAATATGTATGATTTGTTAGACATACCCTTCTATCCCTGTTTTACAAACAACAAATCCTATACATAAGAATTTTAGGCAATTTTCCAAGGACACAATGGTGCAGCTGGGAACTAAATTATCCTGACTATTTATTTTTAGTATTAGTATTATATCTTTTACTGTTCATTTTATTTATTTTTAAATGTGTTCCTTGATAATTTCAATATTCCTTGCAACTCAAAGGTTTTACAGTCGTACCCTGGAAGTCGAACGGAATCTATTCCAGAAGTCCATTCAACTTCCGAAATGTTCAAAAACCAAAGCACAGCTTCTGATTGGCTGTAGGAAGCTCCTGCAGCCAATCGGAAGCCACGGAAGCCCCGTCGGACGTTCGGCTTCCAAAAGAACATTCGAAAACCGGAACACTCACTTCCAGGTTTCGATCATTCAGGAGCCAATTTGTTCTGGAGCCAAGGCATTCGAGATCCAAGGTACGACTGTACTACAATTGAGCAATTTATATAGTTTTCTTTGAATAAAAACAAGAAATAAATTTATATTTATAATTACTGTATATTTATGTCCTGTCCTCCTTCCCAAGGGAACCCAAAGCTTTATCTCACATGGGAACTCAAGGATACCTACTTGATTTTATTATAGATATTTTTATACCGCCTCCAGGACCATTCCCGTATTCATGGTTGCCCACCCAAACATTGACCACACATAAACCCGCTTAGCTTCAGCAAAGTTGCGACATCCTGCGCCTTCAGATCATGCCATGTTACGGGCAACCATTAAGATGTTTCAACCGGAGACCCATTCCACCCCTTGCTCTGTGGGTTTCACCATTCATTAACTTTTAATCCACTTGGCTCTCAAAATCTTATGTGCCGACATTATTTTTGGATGATTAAATAGCAGCTTCTTTGGTTCCAGAGAATGAGGGAGTCAAGGAAGCACTTGTCTAGGGATAAAAACCTGCCACACAGAAAAATTGAAGCAGATTAGACTGGTCAAATGAAAGCAACACAGCTCAGATTTTTTTAGAAAGAAGGAAAGAAAAGGAAGGAAGGAAGGAAGGAAGGAAGGAAGGAAGGAAGGAAGGAAGGAAGGAAGGAATATAATAATGAGACCCAAGGTGTATTTTTATTTTAATAATATTTTAATGTTTCACTTTTAATTGCATTTGGCCTATTAGATAGAATGCAGGAAGGGAAAGTTTTGATTTGTAAGGTTCCTGTGCGCTTCAATTTGACAACCTTACTGCTCTCTGGGCCATAAACAAGAAACCCTGTTTAACCCTGAAAGTGGTACAACTGGCCCTCCAGGATGTTATTCTATGTCCTAATCCCGGAACATTTTAGTCCATCTAGAAATCAGCAGAATGGCTCTAGGACCATGCCTTACTCTCTGGACCTCCAGAGCAGTTTCCACCAAGTTGGACACCGGTCCCAATTTACCTTCAGATCCTCTGGGATGAAGACTTTGCGGGCTTTCTTAATCATTGGCTGTGGCTTCAGTTCCTCCTCGGAGAACTTGCGCTTCCGGGGGTCAAACATCTCCTGGCCAGGAATGCTGGAAAGAGCGAGATCGGCCGGGTCAGGTTCATACCCCACCGGAACCTGAATGGTCTCTGGATCGATGGGGCTTGGCGTGTTGCGATTTGCAGGCACGATTTGACCTGCAGAAAGCAGAGGCACCATGGTAAGGAAACCGGAAGGGAGAGAACGTTGCAAATTTGTGGTATAACACACACACACACAAAACACACTCCATGACCCACGAAAATGGGGAGACCGAGGACCTCAAAAGCTTGACTGAACCTTGCAAAGATGGCAACGCACATCTCAAATATGGAAACGCTTTTGCAAACAACCACACCCTAGGCCAACCCCAACCTCTCTCACCACCACAAGTGAACAGCAGAGAACCTGCACAAGCAACGCTGACACCAAACCCTACATATATTAAGTAAAATAGAAACATCGCCACCTGACCCCACCCCCACCCATCTTTCTCCCCCTCCACCCCTTTCCCCCTTTTCTTCCTAATGTCTCAACAAATGGAACCAATTTGTAAAAATGTTACATGAAAAAAATACGAGAGAGAATTACACATACTTCTGTAAATCAAGAAAATCTTTAATAAAAATACATTAAAGCAAAACAAAAAAAAAATATGAAAATGCTTTTTTAAAAACCAGAGCGTATATGAGTTATAAAGTACAAATAATCCTGGAAAATATATGAGGTCGATTACAGAGGAATAGTCAATCCTAGAACGATGAGACTTAACTTTAATTTTCTTTCCCTGTTCATAAAACCCGCAAGTGGATAAATGAGTCAAGAAGAGGCCACTCATGTTCCTCTATGTTTGTAAAAACAATGAAATCATTCCATATTGTGCCCAAACAAATCTACATTGGTCCTCCAGACTGGACTCCAACTCCCATCATGCTTCACCACTGGTCTGCATGGCTGGGGATGATGAGAGTTGGAGTCCAATACTTCTCCCAAGCCCTCTGCTCTATGGTCTCATTCTCCTTGTTCCATGGAACTGCCAATGTTTGCGCCCAAACTGAAAAACACGCACACACCCAAGTGTCATTTCTCTCATCTGAAATTGGTTCTCAGCCTTCCATGTCCAACTTTCCAGAATAACAGGACATTATAAAGAGATGTAGGGGGGAAACAGGGTGAAGTTAGAGGTGCCACAAAGGACACGAGCCAAGCTGATTGTGCAACACGTTCTACAGACGGTACCAATAACATTTGCTTCCAGGAAGGGCTGGGAAGCACTTGGGAGATGAGAGAGGCGGATCAAAGGGATATTTCTTCCCCAGAATACACAAAAAAAATGAAAAGGGGCAGCAAGGAATTCAATTGTTATCCCTCGTACCCACAGAAGAGTTTCCTTCTCACACTGTGCGCCATGTCACTCAATGCCAAGATCTGAAGTGCTGAAAACTGGGCATATCCTGCCTGGTTTCATAAACACCGTCCCATTGATTAAACAGTCTTGTCGCAGAGAATCAAAAGTTGATGTTGGAGGATAAATCAGGACGTTTTAATATAATTCCACTTGTAGGAAGGGTGGCTAAGGAGCAGTCTGAGAAAATCAGCTGTGAGCCAGAAAGTGCCTGATGGTCGCCGGCTTGTCTCACATGTTTTCCTGTTTCCAGAGCACTTTTGAACATGTTCAGAATGCGCTCTCTAGATACGGGCCTGGATTCGAGACACTGGAGCCCTTTGGTTCACTTTGCCAACTCTGGGCTGGATTTGGGTCATTTTCACCACCCACCATGCAATGTGTACATTTCCATCCTATTTAAGCAATCCTATCTTGTGCTGCTGGGACGCAGGTGGCGCTGTGGGTTAAACCGCAGAGCCTAGGACTTGCCGATCAGAAGGTCGGCGGTTCGAATCCCCATGACGGGGTGAGCTCCCATTGCTCGGTCCCTGCTCCTGCCCACCTAGCAGTTCGAAAGCATCTCAAAGTGCAAAAAGATAAATAGGTACTGCTCCGGCGGGAAGGTAAACGGCGTTTCCGTGCGCTGCTCTGGTTCGCCAGAAGCGGCTTATTCATGCTGGCCACATGACCTGGAAGCTGTACGCTGGCTCCCTCGGCCAATAAAGCAAGATAAGCGCCACAACCCCAGAGTCGGCCACGACTGGACCTAATGGTCAGGGGTACCTTTACCCTTTACCTTATCTTGTGCTGCTATGTGTGACTGACAGCGTGGTCATCTGCATGTTTACTTCGAACCAGTGTTTCTCAAACTTGGGTCTCCAGCTGTTTTTGGACTAGAACTCACATCATGCCTAGCTAGCAAGACCAGTGGTCAGGGATGATGGGAACTGTAGTCCAAAAACAGCTGGAGACCCAAGTTTGGGAAACACTGCTTCAAACCTACTGCTATCAAAGGGAATCATGTGATGCTCTGCAAACTCGCCTTATGATGATGTTTCACTGAGCTGAGCAGGACTTACTTCAGAGTAGTAAATGCTGATCCACACTTCGCTTTTACTGAGATGTTTTCAAGATATGTCCTCTGCCATCCTAGATGGCTGATATAACAGTATAAAGTACGAAGACAGACTCTGAGTATGTGGGCAATCGCAGGTGGAAGACATATTGCACTATTTACTATATTGCCTGCTATACATTGGACCTGGGGGGTGATTTGTCACCATCCATACAGGAAAGATGTCTCTCCCCAGCAGAGAAGGTCATATGGCTTCTAAGCGATGTAAATGCTTCAGTGACTCATAAAGGCGCCCTTTTCGCTTTGGCGGCAAAAAAGATCAGAAAGAATATCCTGGACCATTTAACAGTGAGCTGTAAGGGAGACGCAGAGATCTAAATAGAGACCACTATTTGTGCCACGACACCCCTTTTGCTGGTATTTATTTTTGATTCAGATCTATCATGGCCATGGCTAGTACAATAACATTATTTGTATTCACACATGCACTAGAACAATGCTAACATGGCAACCCATGTACCATATTGTTCCTGCACACAAGGGGACAAACTATTTGTCTATCTGCTTCTTGCTCTTAAAAGCCAAAATAGGATTGTGGGAAGATTACAAACTGACTACCACTTCCCTTGTGTGCCTTGCTTAATTGGTGGTGGTGGGGGGAAACGCAACACAATTCTAGGTGTGTTTACTCAAAAGAAAATCCTCTGGAATCTCTATGGCGCTCTGAGGTCAGTTCAGGTAGGACGACAGCATTGCTACAGGATTTGAAGATGCCAGCCCCCACATTCACAGCTTCATGGGGAACCTGCGACCCCCCACAGACCTTGTTGAACTCCAACTCCCATCAACCCCAGTCAACACAGCCAACGGATGATGGGAGTTGCCACAGGTTGCCCATTCTTGCTTTTATAATTTGAAGCACAAAGCTCTGCCTCTCTTCAGGAACTTGTACTACAGTGGTACCTTGGGTTACATACGCTTCAGGTTACAGGCGCTTCAGGTTACACACTCCGCTAACCCAGAAATAGTGCTTCAGGTTAAGAACTTTGCTTCAGGATAAGAACAGAAATCGTGCTCCGGCAGCGCGGCGGCAGCAGGAGGCCCCATTAGCTAAAGTGGTGCGTCAGGTTAAGAACAGTTTCAGGTTAAGTACGGACCTCCGGAACGAATTAAGTACTTAACCCGAGGTACCACTGTATTATGCAGCCTAACTCTTAATCACCACACATTTTACAAAATCACATCATGTGATCTACAAAAATTATACCAAAGAAGAAGCTAAAAATAGGTTTGACAACTCTACAAGAGCAACTGAAGACAGCTTTCGAAACATTACAAAAATGAACAGATAAGACACTTTATCCATCTGGAGAAGCTTCTAATAACAGAAATATCACCCATTGTTTCCAGAAAGTACAGATAGCAGGGGCCTGTAAAAAAAAAAAGGGTAAAGGACCCCTGGATGGAAGTCAAAGGCGACTATGGGGTTGTGGTGCTCATCCTGCTTTCAGGCCGAGGGAGCTGGCGTTTGTCCGCAGACAGCTTTCCGGGTCATGTGGCCAGCATGACTAAACCGCTTCTGGTGCAATAGGACACAGTGACAGAAACAAGAGCGCAAGGAAACGCTGTTTACCTTCCCACTGCAGTGGTACCTATTTATCTACTTGCACTGGCCTGCTTTCGAACTGCTAGGTTGTCAGGACCTCAGTATGGATGCTTCCCCACAGAACAGGGGCAGCCATACTAAAAGCCCTGCTCTGAGTTACTATAGAGTGGGTTTCTGATATTTGGGGGGCTTTAAGAAAAAAAAACTATGATGCAAAATGCAGTGACCTGCTGAGTCTATATAAGAAAAGGCAGTCTCTTCCTATTTTGCTAAATAGGAAGAAATAATCCATGTGTGAATGAGAGAGAGAGAGAGAGAGAGAGAGAGAAATCAATTCCTCTTTGAAACAAAAGCATTCCAGAACATTGTGCCGATTCACTCAAACGCTATCAGGGATACCAACCCGGAACATTATCCTTGAGGGACATTCGCTGTCTGCAAGCAATCCTGCCAGGAGACACTCAACCTAACACAATTCTTGTGTTACTCCGCGAAAAAGGTACTCCTTTTTCACGAGCAGACAATAGTTGGCTGCATTCTCCATCCCGTTCCACCGCGGTTCCACAGGTATTTCTGTTGAACCGCCCACCAAATCCCTACTGGGCCTGGTGTGCTATTTTTAGAAAGCATGGGTTCATCCCAATCCAAGGTGGGTCAAATGAGGACAGCGTACAAAAGGTCACATGTCTAGCAGAGAGCGCTGGGGACTAATCCTGCCTCAGCAAACTCCGCAGCTGTGACAACATCCAGTAGGAGAGGTCAGCTGAAAGGGAAACCTGCAAGCAAAGGGGAACACTTGGTTCCCTCTTAAAATTGCCCTGCAGTGTTTGCGCTCACCCTTCATCCTAAAAACAGTAAGAAAGAATTCCGTTCCACTGACAAAGGAACACAGGATACCAAGCCAGACCACGGGTTCATCTACAGTAGCTTTCGTTTCAAAAGAAAACACAAGCAGTTCCTGCTGAGGCCGAACACCTTTGTGCAGACGAAGAGTTCTGTGACGCTCAAAAGCTTGCTTCCAGTTGGTTCATTTATTTTATTTTCTACAAAAAAATAACAAAAGAGCTCTGCTCGTTCCGTGGCAGCAGCC